TGGCCTTTCAAAGTTGCATTCACTTCACTTGGTACCGTACCATATAAGGCCATATTTGGGGGGGATATCCCCTTACATAGCCCTTATATAGGCCTTATATATGGTAGGTACCTCCAATTTAGGATCCTGAAATTCCTATTGATGATGTTGGGATTCCATTCTGACTCAAAGAGTCCACACATCAGAGAGACTCTGATCATCTGATCGAATTTGATGAAAACAAGCATCAAACTGTCAGAGTCGCCCCTTGACCAATGATATGTTGTTTTACAATGTTTTACATATGACATAACTATGGTATACTGTTGTACCACCATTGTTTATAGGTTCATCATGGTTCATCTATTGATGGGCCATTTTCCCTAGCAAAACCCCCTATGATTTCCCAGCGGATAGCGGATATCCTCATAAACTATCCATGACTGGGAATGGCAACCATACCTCAAAATCATGAAATTGGGGATGGTGCAAATGGCATTGGGAATTACCAACATTATGGGAAATTGATCTAAGTGAATCCTCTACCAAAAAAGAGCTGGTATGGAAAAAAATGATCTATGGCTCTTGCTGCAGAACCATATGGGATTGTCCAAAGGAGCTTCGCAAACAAGTCGTCCACGGCCGTTCATCATGTTCCCCATGAAAAAATTGCGGTCTCTCATTTCTAGACAAACCCGAATCATAGTGTTGGATCTGTATATTGTTCTGTCATTCTAACCCATTTTACCCTCTGGTAAACTAACATAACTATGGAAAATCACCATTTTCAATGGGTAAATCAACCAAAAAAACCACCATCTTCAATAGCTATTTTGACAAATTACCAGAGGCTACCTTGCAGCTTTTTAGTTGTCTGCAGATTTCTATCTTATAAATATCTGGCTGGTACATCACCCCGAGGTCTGAAACCATGTTCCCCGGTTTCCCATGGTTTCCCGGTTTCAACCCCGTCCCCTGAGGTTTCTGCGGCCTTTTGAACAGACAGTGGCCTGTGAACGGTGCGGGCTGCATTAAATGGTGTACCCTCTGGTGAACCTACAAAAAACTATGGAAAGATCCACCATTTTTAATGGGTAATTCCACTAGAAATCACCATTTTCAATAGCTATGTAAACGTTTACCAGATGGTAATGGCTGCAAAATAGGAATTTTTTGTTGGATAGTTCTCGATCATTTGAGATGATTTTTTCTGAGTTCCAACCAAATGGTGGTACCATTTTCGTCATCACCATGGGTTTCAATACTCAGTCATGGTCATCCATGACGACTGAATGATGCAAGGGGTACCCCTATGACTTGGAAAGCCAAAAGGATACGAGTAAGTCTCCGATTCGTGGGCTATCCCATTTATGAATGGCTTTTAACATATTACAACAACACTTATATGTATGGAGATATCATATAACCCATTATAACAACACTTAAAACATATTATAACAATACTTACACTAACAATACTAGTTTATAAGTGGAGTGATCTTCCAAGTATATGGGAATATCTTGGGATTCGGAGTATATCTATGGAGAGAGAGGGAATCCAACAAACATAGGGGTTTGAGGCCAATAATATTTAATAAGGATAGAACAGCATATAATGTCATAAAATGGCCTACCCCTCTGAAAAATATGAAAGTCAAATGGGATTATTGTCCCCAATATATGGAAAAATAAATTTAAAAAAAATTACGTTCCAAACCACCAAGCAGTATTTGTATGGTCAAAATTATCAACCGGCAGAATGGGTGGTTTTTCATGGCTGAGGTTCAGAAATCCCCCAAATTAGGTGGATTCATCGGCAGTCCAATTTTGACCTATACCCGTCTGGCTTGTTTCCGAGTGATCCTGACGTTGCATCAGGAGACAGTAGCAACCAATGGGTCTCTCTCTCTCTCTCTCTCTGTATGTATATATATATATATTATATATATATATATATGTTCACCAACAAGCATGAGGATATCACCATATCACCCATCAAAAATGATGAACATCTCTTGCCAGTAGATTCCGCTGTCCAACTTAGCAAAGCTGGGTCTGGCAGTTTTTGGCAATATAGCCATCTACATCCATTGTGGTAACCCAAAAAAAGATAGAATAGATGGAATACATTTAGTAGTGGGATACCACATTTTTTTAGTGATATACTAATCTATATATTCTATATATCCATCTATCCCATATACATTCATAGTGGTATTTCCAGGATGGTATAGATTATGATCGGTCAACAGCGGACGATTAAATCATCATCACAGGTAGGGATAGAGTGATAGAACATGATAGAACATTGCAAACGAACTAGATAACCCCAATCAACCCTCTAATACTTCCCCGAGGGAGTCATAGGCTACCGCAAGATTTTGGCATGGCGCTATCACATGCTATCATTTTGGCACTTCGCAGACCTGGGTATAGTGCAAAGCACAGAGGGGGAGGCAGCGGTCACCCTTGTAAGGCCAACCAGTGGAATCAACAAATGGCCGAAACTTTCAGGAAATTCACTGCCAGACGCCCTTGCGAAGCATGCAGGTCCCGCAGAGGGACAATTCGGACCATCGACACCGGACTCAAATTGACACAGTCTTAGCTCTGTCAAAGCAACATGTGAAAAACGATGATCCCAAGCCGCAGAGGTGGGAAGCATGTACCATTCTGCCGGCCTGCCGGTGTTTTGCCAGCATTTTGATAGGCAACCTGCAGCATTTCCCACCGATTTAGATCTGTAAGATACTTTGGGTGGATAGTTTCACCAAGCTATGAAGTGAATCAGCCAGACTCGGCTTTCATCTGGGCTTCACTGGTAGGCCAGGATCAGAAAAACTGTTCGGCTTGGCTCCAAATTCAGAAATTCTCTGATTGGTGGCTTCAAGCCCTCAAGCATTGGTGGGAATCATCCCATGGAAGAATTACATTCAAAAAGTCCAAACAAGTTCTGGTTTTCAAACCTCAAGCCGTAAAAGGAGCCTCACTGCAGGAGCCGTGGCATTGCATCCATTATATCCACCAGCTCAAGGGTTTGCTCCATCTGCGGAGAAATCACAGCAGCGCGGGCGCGTAACTGGTCGAGCCTTCGAGCGTGCTCCTCGCTGCTGCGCTTCAGCAAGCGGTCAGCCAAGCCACCGTTGTGTTCACTTCGTGACTGCGGAGTGGTATTTTTTTCAAAGAGAATGTCCAAGTCCTGCAGGGATGACAAGGATGTACCACTACTTGGATGTGTATCTCAGGCATTGTACTGTAAGTGGTTTAGACCAAATTCTCATATAATATCTATGTTTTATACATACATACATACATACATACATACATACATACATACATACATACATACATACATACATACATACATACATACATACATACATACATACATACATACATACATACATACATACATACATACATACATCATACATACAACATACATACATACCTACATCCCCTACATACATACCTACATACATACATAACATACATACATACATCCATACATACATCCAAAATACATAACATACATACATCATACCTACATACATATCATACATACTACTACATACATACAGCATTACATAAGCCATAACATACATACATACA